CCTTCTATAATCGGTCTGTATCCTGTACATCTGCATAAATTACCTAGAAAATATGTAATCAATTCATTACTATTATTATTATGTATTATTATAAATTTTGCAAATTATATTATGTATTATGTATTATATGTATGTATATATATATTCGTTTATAGATGTATTAATAATAAATCTATAACAAAACATGTAAAGTTATGCATGAATGCGCGCATCATACACCCTGTATGCTTCAAATACATTACCTTGAAATGCAACTTCTAAATGCTCCATAGTTGGTTTTGGGATGTTGCGCAATAAAGCATACATAGACATGACTATACCAGGTGTACAAAATCCACATTGCGAGCCATGTGCCATGGCGATACGTTCTTGTACCGGATGCAACTTGGTTCTTGTACTACCGATACCCTCTACAGTGGTTATAGCTAGGCCATGTACAGCGCATATTGGTGTTAAACATGCATTAACAGCCAAATGACTATTATAATTCATATATATTAAGAAAATTAATTTGTTAAAATGAAACAATCTAGAATTTATAAAGTTTTATAAAATATATTCACAGTATCATTGTATATACATAATAAAAAGGATACGTAATTTTTCTAGTAGCACGATTAAATTTTGATATCATAACTGTACAGGCACCACATCCTCCTTCTGCGCAACCAAGTTTTGTACCGGTCAATCCAACTGATTTATCATATATTAAGGATAATGAATAAATCGATGTCACTTATATGTTTCAATATGTAAGAATAAACGAGGGTAAACATAAATGAAAGGATACGTTTGTTGCGAAGATACCATAAAACTGTCCATTGTGGATCTATATCTTTATCTGATATCTAGATTATACATAAAATGTATATGTAATATTTTAGTTTGATTAAAAATTTTAGCTTGATTGGAATAAAAACTCTTAGAGATACACTTGGATCAAAATAAAAATACATCTGTCAATCATACCTCTTTTCCATTTACATAAAAGACAAGTACGTTTGATACTGGTCCTTCTTGTTGTTCATTGTTGTTTGACGAATTATCTTCATGAAATTCATTATGATTTATGTTTCCATTGTACACAAGCGGTTTCTTGACCAAATCTTTTTCCATTTTGAAATCTGCTGTACTGCTGTATTTCTTTAATTCGCTATAATTTATTAAAATTTATATTAATATATATGATACTAAATATATCTACTGTAGAAATAATTATTTGTTTAAAGAGCAGCACAAAATATTGAAACTTTATTGAAATATTGAAACAAAAAATATCGGTAACCATTAATAATCCAACAACTTTGCTTTGTCAACGCAGACTGTAATCTTCGTACTACTACGTAACGTTATCAAGATGACAATAAAAGTCGTTTTGTTTACCTTGCAAGAGAGAACAACGTAATCACAAATATATTTGATGGCAATTAAACACAGATATACCGTACGGTACACGTGTTTTCTATTCAGATAATAATTTTTTCCTTTTTCGATTATCACAATTTATAAACTTTACGTTATTTAATACTGTTATTTACATTAATAGCGTAAGATTGTTTTGTAGCTTGCACTGGACTCAGCGACTCAGCTCCGCTACTTATACTAACTTCCACTGTGTTAAAGTCGGATTATAGCTGATTAAGTTGATGACTCTCGATGATTTGCCGTACACTCAACATACATATGTAATATTACTCAGCACAATAACAGTAGCAAAACATGTTCTGTTGTGTTCATTGAAGTAATAAATATGAAAGACTCAGATTTATTTTGTTTATGATACAATTTAATTAAAGCTCTAACGCAATATATTTTAAATTACTATCAAAATCATCCATAAATTGTGGATAAAAGAAAACATTAATGATTTATTATTAAAATATTGTGTTATTAATATCTCTTAGTTTTAATATCTTTTATTATTAATATGCAAAATATTATGTTACCGTTTAAATATTTTATATTTCAATTAATATATATCAATTCATTAATTTTTAATATCTATAACTTTCTTTTAATCTGTAATATTATCTGTAACATTATCTGTGTAGAATCCATGTATTTAACTTGAACTTTTATGCTTTGCTTTTAATTTACATGCAAATTTATAAAATTATATGTAGTACAAGATATATGTCTTACTTTTATCAAGCAATAATAATTTTTTTATGTTCTTGTAAAGATTTCATATGAGTATATCAAATAATTAATAATTAATAATGTAAATTTTTTTAGGGACATTTTTTCAAATAATAAAACTAGGTCATAGATATATTCAACAATAGTATATCAAGAAATTTTTTAATATTAACAATATCTAAAGTTTACAGAATTTGAAGAGATATATTGAAGGTATTTATATATCTATTTATTCGATATTCATGAGATATTGCGTCACTTCTTTAGATATCACTGAATGTTCTTGCATAATTTGATCCTAGCAATTTTTCATAAATATTTTAAAATACTATTTAAAGTTTCTAATGGAGATTGCATGAAAATTTTGCTAAGAAAAATACAATAATAAGATAAAATATTTCAATAATTATTCGGATATTACAATAATTATTCGGATAATAATTACAATATTATATCTAATATATTGAATAAAATTATTGATGTTTACGCTATAGAACAATTAAAAAAGATAAAATGTATTTTATAATGCCAAACAAAAATGTTTCTTTAAACATATAAAGTAAATACATAAATATAGTATGATACATAATAGAAGTGATGGAATAACTTTTTTCCGCATAAAAAAAAAAAATATTTCTTATCGATCATCTATCTTAATAATAATCATGTTTATTTTATCTCTATGATTGGACTGGATATCGTTTATTTTATCGTTTTTTATCGATAATTTTTACGTATGGGGCGTACTATCAAACTATTTACTTTATTTACTTTTATTTTAAAAATCAATTTTATGAGATCATTTTCAAAGCACCGCTTATCATAATCATTTCATGAAAAAATGGTTTAGTCTCTAACGTTGTGCCTTTTATATCCTTTATTCTATATGATTTTTTAATTATTTTTTCAGAGAATTAGGTCTTCGTCATCTGTCATGTACTGCTTGTGAGCAATTAAATCATAATAGTAACAATTGATTTTGTATCATAAAATTTGTGATAAATTTCTATAGGTTTCCTATAGAACCTATTCTGAAAAGTCAATAGAAATTTATGAAATATTTTTGTGTTTCTCGCATACATTCAGATAAATTTTCTAATTGGGTTAACAAAGAATAATATAAATTTTCTTTCACGCATTGCCGATAAAAATTCAATGAGTAATTTCAGATTAAAAACGATTCATTTTATATAGTAAAATTACGATAAATTCTTATAGATAATTCTTATAGATATTTCCATTTTAAAAAATCAGATGGAAATCTATGAAATTTCATATTTTTCAATTTCGTATTTTTCATATACATTCAGAGTAAATTTTCCAATTCGCTAAAAAAACGATAGAATCTTATAGATTTAATGCTTAAATTTCTATCGATAGAAACTTATTAAATAAATTCCAGATTAATAACGATTTAATTTTTATCGTTAATATACGATTTATTATTATTCGTTACATAGTAGATAGAAAACGATAAATACCAATTCGTAATTTTAACTATTCCGTTAGAGACAATACGATTTAGAGTGATAGCATTTCTATCGTCAGTTTCCTGTAGAATACAAATCTTATAGAAGCCGATAAAATACGATTCAAATAGAATTCATATCTGATGCTCGTGAGCCGAACCATACGGCTTACAGAAAATGATACAAATTAGATTAGTAGAAAATTCTATACGAAAGATTGTTTACGACTTTCGGTACATTGCACTTCCCATGTTCTTATCTTATTCAAAACGTAATGTGTCATGATAAAGTCAAATTGTAAGATGCATTTAAACCGTTAATTGCGATAAAATATGTACCATGTCTTATCGCATTTATTTGTCTTCGATTTGTCTGCATTCAAGATATCTATAATTTATAGAACATAAAACAGCAAGAATTTTATTTCAAGCGACCTACATATATCGTATGATTTAAGTGAAAAATCAACATCATGACAACATCTATATATACAATCCAGTACAATTAAATGTATTTGTATAAATTTTTAATGAATTAAGAATAAATTTATTTAAATAAATATCTTTAATTTCGATTGATTATAAGTAAACCAGTCCTCTTTCTACAAAAAGTTTTTATTTATTATCAAACTAATTGACAGCAATTTAAAAAATATATGATAAACAAGAATTTTATTTAAAATTTGAATTAGAAAAAGAAAACTCAATTATACGTGTATGATATTATTAAAAAATATATTTCTTTGTTTTTGAAATGCATTGGGAAAATAATTATCAGGAATGCACATAATTTTTATATGACAAGTAACACGTAAATTTAAATATATTACATATTGTAATATGATAGGCAATCCAAATATGAATCGTCGTGAAGGAACAAAAACCATTAAAAAAATAGATTAAGATATTAAATACTTAAATATAACTATGACTTTCATCGAATGTTCGTAAACACATAAAACTTAAGATCGTGATTTTGCGATTGACACTTATTGCGACACTTTGAGTGTCGAAAACGATTGAGATGAAATAACATGTGGTGATCAATACGTAATTACTATTATTATAGTAATTAAATAATATATAGCATGACAGAATCATGCATAATACAGGCACTTTCACAAAAAAAATCTATGCATACCGTTATACTTTCGGTTTTTGTTCAATGCATCAGTATTTCACTTAAAATGCACGTACGATGATACCGCATTCGCTGCACGTACTAAACTAGTCAAACAGATCAGCAATAAGAATGTCACGAGGGTTATCATTGAAAGATAGACTATATCTACTGGCTGACGTACTATTGACGAACATGTAACCTTATGAGAAAATAAGTCGACCTTCGAAGACTCCTTTCGAAATGTGCTTCTTTCTTTACTTTGCTCGTTAAAAAGATTCCAAGAATAAACAACTTTCTTTGAATGCTCGTCAAAGTTAAATAAAGCTTGTCACAAGAAAGAATGTACTAAAGATATTACCTGAGAGAGTAACATGAGCTGATGAAAATTTGATCATGATTTATAAAATTGTTTTATTGCGAAGGTATTATGGTACTGGAACGCATAACATTCCAGAACAATAGCCATATAGGTAGCATAACAGCAGTGACAATATTGTAGAACCAACTACCATATATCATGGAATCGACAATACTAAATACAAGTGCTTGCTTATTAGCGCGATAGCCTTTGAGAAACAGAGACGAAATAGTTTCAGTTGGGAAATTAAGATAGGTATAGCCCATTATAAAAATCATCAATAAGATGAATGGATGTAATACAATCCATGTGATATACTGACAATTACGAAATCTGTAAAAGTAAAATATTATTAATTGTCGGAACAAAATAAAAATAGATATTTGTATCAATAAGAATTAATTTTGACACTTACTTAGATACAGATTTGTGGTGTGGTGTTATCAATAATATAACTGGTACATATACAACAGCCGTTTGTAAAGCTAATGAGAAATTATGCATGGCTATGCACATTAACGTAGTACCTAATTCAATCAATGCAATAACGCAAATGAGCGATATATTTTCATATTTGACTGATCTGTAAATATTGTATTTAATATATATTAATAGTGTAATATTGTAGTAACAAAATTAAATCAATTTTTTTCTTTACCTCTTTAAAGAAAGGCGCCACATTAACGTAAGAATCGTAATTAAAGCAAAACTGATAAATAATGAATCTTCTGTACGTAGATTGAACATTTTTGATCCAATTAAGATAAAAAATCGAGGTGAAGCCATTACTAATATTCCAAATATGTGTGCCCATAAGATTTTAGAAGCAATGCTTCCGATATCAAATTCTTCGATCTGTTTAATAAAGAATAAATATGAAAATATTTAGAATGGCAATAAAAATATATCAGCTCAATAAAAAGTTTTATTACTTTATTTGTCAAATCTTGTTTATTTTTCGTTTCATTTGAGCTACTTAATGTTTGCAATCTTTGCCAAATCGAAAATGCCTTTATAAATACACTAGCGATTATCAGTACCAAAGGCCGCATATACAAGCCTGTAAAATATTTTTATTTATTCATTTAGAATTCAATCTTAAAAATTTAAATATAATTAGATATAATCTTTTCGTTTCTTACCAATAGAAATGTATCGATCAGTAGAAGGTAATAAATAGAAAAAATATGATTGATGGAAACGTTCTAATAAATTATTAAGCGATCTTACTATACTCTCCACTATGCGCCCTACTTGATAAAAGTTTGCTTCTGTCTCTTTTCCAGATTTCTTAAAGCCTTCTAATGTAATAGCTTCTATACCAAACCTATAGATAAGTTATATAGTTAAAGCAAATATTAAAAATATTAAAAATTATTAAAAATATAAGACAATTAGTATAAACAAACTAAAACTAAAAGATTATAAGAACAAATATGTTAAATTGAAAATTTTTAAATATAAATTTATCCTATATTTTAAAAATATTATTTAAAAATCATTAAAAATCATTTACAATTTTACTATTATATTAGTAATTTGCTTTCTTCTTGTTCACTTCTCTTATTTATTCATTTATACAAGATAAATTAAAGAACTTTATAGAATTTAGTTCTTGTAAGTTCTTTATTACAGAACTTATAAGAACTTTATATTATATTAATTTCATCAATAGAATACATTTTTATTAACTTTACCGATGGAAAAGTCCATGGTTTCCATTTGGAATCCCAGTAGCTTGTACTGTTATCATACTCATTAATGTATTAAAATGATACCACCAATTTTTTAATTTATCCCTGTAATTGACATCAAATTGACGATGAAAAGAATGTCGAATTCCTTCTTTGGCTATCATATTTTGTGCTAAATTAAAAAGATCCAGATTGGGTAACTGTCCATTCAGTCCTTCTATCTAATAACAATTTATACATACGTACATAATTTTATACATAAGCAGAAATGTAATAAAACAAAATAAAAAATTAACATTATCAAATCAATTATCAACTAAATACCTTGACATCAATTGATGTGACTTTCAATGCATGGAATTCAAGATTTATAGCAGCTTGAATAGATCCAGCTCTTCCTGATAAATCTCCTGCTATCAAGATTTCTTTCTGACCACTAGTAACACCATGATAGGCATCTAGCCATGCTTGCATACCTAATTGCTCATGTTCTGTTACAAGAAATATTATATCCTTTGCCCAATATTTTTGTTCTATAAAAGAAATAATCTTATAATTATTAAAAAATAAATTTTGATTGACATTAATTGTTTAATATTTATCATTCTCAATTTTATCATTTAATATCAATATTATAGAAATTTACTTCTGCAAAACTTTGCAAATGCAAGCAACAAAGCTATTGAAGGTGCAGTGTCTAAATAAATGCTATTAATAGGTCTATATGGTACACTGACTACAATAGCCTCAGTACTGGATGCCCGTGGTGCTCTGACAATACCATAAATATTCTGTCCTACAAACTATAAAAATTTGCATAAAATTATGTTATTTATATTATTCAAGATATAATTATTAATATACCTTTTGCTTCTGAAATGGATAATTCAATGAAAAATTATGTACAAATACATCTAAATGAAGTTGACTGAATTTTGCCGAAAGCCATACATAAGGCATGCTATTTGGATATCTCTTCATTTCGTGAATTAGTTCATAGTAGTATTGTTTTGACGTTTGTTCCAGATTACTTTCTTTTGTGACTAATCCAGGCAGTAAAGCATTTTCAGAAAAATAAGTATCTAAAAACAAAATTAAATTGTAATTCATACATATAAATTGAAAATACAACTATATTTTAAATTCTCTTATAAAACATCTACTTTGAAGAACACAAACATACTATCGTTAAATGCCGGTAATGCCAGAAGCATTAACCATATAACTCCTCCTGCATATAATACAAAGCATAGTGGTTTCTCCCATTTTAGCAATAATTTTATGATTTTACCGGTTCCAGCCCTAGGATCCGTAAGTAAACCCATGTTTGTTAAGATACGTTCTGTTTCTTGATGATGTGCATGAAAACATAAAAGTTTGTTCCGTTTCTTTTTAAACGCACTTGCTACATAATTTAGGACTCTTCCCCATTGAACGCGACGAGCAATGATCGATCCAATGAGAGCTTTGACTGCATTTAGCAGAGAAAGCAGATCAGTGAGCGTTCAGTGATTCTTTATTATGATTGGTTTTTTACATTTAGATTCAACGAAGATCTAAAAGCAAGGACCAATCATATTGAAAAATCACCGAACGCTCACTGACCTGCTTTTTCTGCTGAACGCAGCCTTTGCTTTTTCAAACGTCACGGATGGAGCAAATATTAAAGCTTATTCTACAATACGTCGCATGTCGATGTCGCAAGCTGCAAGCAAAAATTGACCAATCAAACGAATGTAGGAAGAATACTTGATTGTGATTGGTCCATTCTTACGACCACACACCGACACACGACGCATTGTAGAATAGGCTTAAGGATAGAAATAAATAATTTAAAAGTTAATTTTAAAATTTTAAAATTTTTAAAATTTTTTTTAAATTTTAAAAATTTAAAATTAACTAAAATTTTTAAAAATTTTAAAAAATTTTAGTAAAAATTTTAAATTTTCAAATTTTTTAT